ATTGAACATTGTTCTCTTCTCCACTGTTTTTCCTCGGAGTTTGCTGGTCTGGATGATAAAAAGCATACCAGAGAAAGCCACGTTTGTCTTGCCTTCCAATGACCTGCTGCCAACAAATCATGAAGCCTTCCGCAGCACAATGAGGACATCTCAAAGTTCACTCTGGATGAAAGCCATTGGCGTGCTCTTGGAGAACGTGGACCATTTTCATATAGACCGCCCTGAGATGACAAATGACGAGATCACAAGGCTGCTAACCATGCTGTGCAGGAGTACCAACTCCACTGATCGCGTCAGTTTTGGTCCAAAATTTCTTCAAAAGATAGCAAATACAGGATCGCTTGAGGAAATAGTTGCTCCAGCAAACCAGGAGTTGGAAGATGCGGGAAGGAAATCACCAATCGAAGAAGTTTACTTGGAATACAACAGCACCCCCGACTTCGGCATACACGCATTGCTGCTTCAAATGAAAAGTCTCACTCGGCTCGACATCAAAGTTTCCCAACCTTTCAAAGCTACCAAAGAGATGTGCGAATCACTCTGCGTCTTACTGATGCAAGGGAGTGTAGTGGAACTTAATTTGCAAGCCGCCACAGAGGAAGAAGGACTGTTTTTGCCACTGTTGGATGCTGCCAACCAAAGTGATCATTTGTGCGACTTGAGACTACAGGATCTAGGAAACCAAGCTGAGGTGGAGATCTACCAGGATGAAATACTGCGGATTCTTGAAAACAATACTGATTTGGACCTTGCGTTGGTTTGCCAAGACATAAGAACAATGGTTGATGAAACCAACTATTTAGCAGATGAAACCAACTATTTAGCAATGAAGGCACACGTCAACAAGGAATGCTTCCTTGATAGGACCGAAAGTGACAACAAACAGAGACTTATTGACTACAAAACACTCTTGAATCTTTGTGGCCGTCGTGAAACAATGGAAGAAACTATCCAACTCGAGGACTTTGTTGGCTGCCTTTGTGGGGAGGCAATTGGGGACTGGATAGTACATTTTTTGGAGGATGTCACTGGTGAAAGCAAGGAAGAGCTGATCACAATTTTGCAGTATGGACTACTCCGACAACAGCCTGCAACCTGGTTGCCACAGGACACAAAGGGCAGCAGAAAGCGCAAGGCCACGGGACCTCCTGAGGATCTTGCCGTGCACAAGACGAAATTGTTGTCATCCAAGTAAATGCCAGCGTGGTGATTTCTTCACTCTCATCTCAAGACGTCGTCGTATTATTAAAATCAGCACATCATCGACACCGTAGCTGAGTCTGTTGAACTCGCATTCGCATTCTTTAGAGCTTGTCTTGTTTCTCGAGTTTTCCTATGAGACACCTCCAACTTCACCAGCAAAATATCCCTCCCGATTTTCGGTTGCATGACTTGGGAGCAAAATAGCAATGATGATTGTCGCCCTTAGCTTTTATGTTTTCATGTTCTTCTTTCGTCTTGCTCTTCTACCATGTCCCTCTAGTCCATGTCCACGACGCCCACCCCGTACGATGGCTCGCTTCAAGACCAAACTAACCCGTTGCAGGTCAGATGTGTGAGGTTGTTCGTTTTCGGGATACACGGCGTGGTGAAAATCGTCGTTGCAGCTGCCCCACATAATGACGGCATCACCAGGAAATAGTCGAATGGCCGCGGCACAGCAGTTTGTGTCCTCGTTGCTATCTGGACCATCCCATTCATTCCAACTCGTATGGCCCGGTATGGGTCGAAAGGCGAATTTTCGAGGACTTCCAATGGCCACAACGCAGCAGAGTCGTTCCCACATTTTGCCGTGTTCTGGGTCCGTGTGCCATTTGCAGGCCGCATCGGCATCCGGATAATAGTTGCACAAGGCGCAATCAAAAAACTTGGGCATGGGCGCTTGAATGGCAGTTTCGATGCGTCTCATAAAGTCTCGGACCAGGGGTGGAACGGGTGAGGGTGGCATGAGCTTTCCACTATACGCCAGCGCTCCAATCCCCTCTTCGGCCACCCACGCAGTGCCTCTACGCTCGGTGACACTATTTCCGGTTCTAGTCACAATGGTATCAAATTGGAACGGAATGCTTTCCTGGAGAAGATTTATCATGTCATACTGATTGTCCACGCTGGACTGTAGCCCATCCAGATCCGATGAAAGGTCAATGCCCAAGGGCAAGACATCAAAGGGAAGGGATTCGACCCTACTCTCCAATTGCGGGAAGCAAGATGCAAGATACCATGTTTTGTCGTCGTCGTCGTCGTTACTGTCGAGTATTGACATGTCAGGATCCGACGGTGCCACAGAACTGCCGAGGCGAGCTACGATCCCTCGTGCCGCCCATCGGACCTCCAAAGCCTCGTTCAAGTCGTAAATGTCGGCCAAGGACTCGGCTCTTTCCAGCAAGCGCTTGATTCCAATGAGTAGATCTGGGTTGTTTGGACTATGCTCATTGTTGGAGCATTCATAGGTCTGAGAAACCAAGGTGTGCAATCCCAGCAGTGCTTCCCGAAGAGTTCGTGCCTCCTTTTTCTGGTCACTGATTGTCCGTTTGGAGTCTGCTTCAAAAGGCAACGCTGCTGCCAGCACTCCTCGGGTCAATCTAGAATCTTGCCATGATACTAATAATAGTGATGATGGTGAATACAAACAAGAGTCTCCCAGTTTGGACAAGAGCTGTGCACCCCATCGCTGTCGTTTCTCGTGATGAACCGCTTGCGTCCGTAAGTGACTGGGCAAATCCGGATCGGTGGGCAACCAGAATTGGGACGCCACTTCCAGCAATTCTTGGGTGGTCTGGGCATGTTGCACAGCTTCACCGAGGCTCCTTGGTGTTTGCTTATTGTTCGGGTGTTCCTTGGAGGTTTTCGTATTGGTGTTGGACGGGAAGGACGATGAGCCCTTTTTGTTTTGATTATTCTTGTTTTGATGCTGAGAGTCCCTTCTTTGCCTTGAAGCAGATTTTCTGAGGTCCGCTTTCTCGGCAAGTGGCGACCTATGTGAATTGCTGCGTTTTCGTTTGGATGGTACCGATGTGGCCAGCATCTGGAGTGGAGACGAGAAAGCATCGGCCATCATCAGAGATGAAGATGGTAGCGTTCTCGTGTCCAGCAAGACCAACGACAAGAGAAGCAAAAGAGGCATGTTACAGCTTTCTCTCCGTCGCTTCCCTACTAGTACACCACAGCACTGTGGATCGTTTTGTCCATTTCGCATTGTGGTAACGGTACGGTAGTGGTTTTGTATCTCCCAGCTTCCAGTTTGATTTTTGTGTGGTCTCTGATGGATGTCAGATTGATACAGGCAAGTTGAACCCTCACCCTACCGTTCAGAATTAAATTTCTGGGGGTCTACTGCAGCGTAGCAAGAAGGGGGTATTTACGTTGAACTTAGATTGCTAGCTAGCTAGTTCGTAGATGTATGCAGCACAAAGCTTTTAGGGGGGCAACATACAAAAGATGTTTAGAGGTACAGTTATGGGGGCAAATTGGGGACGCGTTGACCCCGAATCGAATGGTCCCTATCTTGCTGTATGGTATCTTTGGCAACCATCGAGACGTGCCTTTGGACAAGCCGCAAGCAAGATGGTGGAAATACCGGTATGTGGGGGGGTCTGCCCAGCCGACAATGGCCAACACGGAGCGGCGAATCAAGCAACGAATTTCTACCGTCGGGATTATAGAATCTCACATACGATCTCTCGCATCCAATGAGCACTGCCGGTGGCTCTCAATCGCTGAGCCTGAGGCGACGCAATGTGTATGAACCTGAAGCTGCAACGGCGAGGCCAGGGGAAGTGCATGCCGAAGAAGAGGCACTCATTGCAGATCCGAGCCATCCGGCTATGTGGGCTATATCCTACGATCAATTGCTTGAGATCGAAACAATTTCAAAGGAAAAGTTTGGCTGTTGGTCGTACCGTTGGAAGACTATGCGAGACATCAATCAACATATCATTATTCCGCGCTGTCGTGAATTTGGAGGGTCCTACAGCTTGTGGTTGAATCCGACAGGGCTCAGATTGGGAGCGTTCATCACCCACAGTTGGGACGAGCCTTTTGCCGAGTTTTTGCATTCCATCAAAGCCGCGTTCCTACCTTTTCCAGAAAAACCAAATCTCTGGATCTGCGCATTCGCCTTGTGGCAAGGTCCCCGTCAACAAATAAAGGAACAACTGGAAGGGCCTTTGGATCATGCGCCCTTTGTACGGGCAATGAGGGAGGCCAAGTGGTTCGTTGTGGTGAGAAACTCTCGAACCGATTTATACAGCAGGATTTGGTGTGTTTGCGAGTAAGTGGGTACCGGTACCAAAGTGCGTCGAGTTGAATGAATTGGACCCAAGCTGACCGAATCTCTCGCAGGTTAATGTATGCCAGAAGGTTTGGATTTACGGCAACCCAACAAACGCTCGTGGTGGGACCCGATAAATTTGCCAAGTCACAGATCAGCTGCCTGCATGCACAAGCCTTTGATCAGGGCGATAAACGTCGAATTTTGGATTCCCTTCGACGCGAACATGGCAGCGTTGACGTAATCGATGCGTTAGTCAAGCAATATCGGGCACACATAAAGGGGCCAGGCAAAACACAGCAGAAGCAAGCGTTTGCTTTCTCGACCATTCTTCTTCTCATGGGTGTGGGCCTTGTGATCCTTGGAACCTTCGCTTTCACTCCACGGTACTTTGCTCCTGCACATCTTGTCCGCTCGCCCCTGACTGATGTTACGTTCCTTCCAGCATACTCGATTGAAGCAATCAACCAAGATCCATGGTCACCTCAAGCCAGAGCTCTTCAATGGATGAAGGACAACGAGGACAACGACGCAAAATTAGGGGGGTGGAACAAAACGGAGGTGTTTGGCTTCTCCGTCTTGAATTATGCAACTCCGCAGACATTGGCTCTCAAAGGGAATATCTTTTGGATGTTTGGGGACACGTTGACGCCCCGGTGGGGCAGGAGTCTTCCTTGCAGCGGCACGTTCGATTACGGTTATACTAGTATGTGCTGCTCAGCTGGAAATCACAACATGGAATCGATAGATTTCGTCCATGGCTCCGGCCGTGAATTGCTGCCTGGGACTATCCCGCCCGAGTTGTCGCTTCTGACTTGTTTGACTACGCTGGTGCTGACCTTTAAGGACGGGACCATTCCAACAGAATTGGGGCTTCTTACCAAGCTTAGAAGGTTGGAACTGATCTCAGGAGGTTTTGGCGGCTCCAGCATCAAAGGATCGATCCCAACAGAGATCGGCATGATGACTGCTCTGACATCTATCTCTTTTCCCCAAGGCCTCAATGGGACTCTGCCATCAGAAATTGGCAGGCTTACCGGGCTCACTGCGTTGTTCCTCAACAAGACCGACTTTTGTTATCACTGGGAGGAGTGCTTTCAGGGAACAATACCAAGTGAAATTGGGCTCCTCAGTGGACTGGAAAGCCTCGAACTCGGAAACAATATGTTGGGAGGTCTGTTGCCAAGTGAGCTTGGTCTCTTGACTTCTCTGTTGTCGTTTGGACACAGCTGTCAGGTGTCTTGCGACCGTCACAATGGAACGTTTTCAGGTCAGATCCCGTCAGAAATGGGGCTGATGAAAGCATTGACCAATTTGCAGCTTACAGCTCACAGGTTCTCTGGGACCCTGCCTACAGAACTTGGAAATCTTGCTGCCCTCGAGTACATGACCGTTGCATACAATGGCGGCCTAACCGGGCCCTTACCTACTGAGCTCAGAGTGATCCCATGTATATATTTCACAAGAATCACATTCTCTCGTTGGTGCATGAAGGAACCGCGCTTGGTCTCCGCGGATGGTTACAATCGTGAGCTTTGTTGGGGAGGCCAAAGCACGGAAACTCCGTATTTTTGTCCCAAGGGGGTTTCGAATTCCACCCTCTGACAACCAGAGGAAGGTTCTTGATACTTGGAGGATCATCGTCTCCCGTAACATCATCGTTGTTGTAGCCGACTACGCAGTGCATCTTGCCAATGGAGAGACTATGGTTCCCTTCAAGGAGCACGGAAGCATAGATGGAATGATCAATCCCGATGTTGAACCAGGTCTAGACCATCGAGCCAATATTGAGTGACAGCGAGAGAAGATTCCAAGCACACTTTTTAGATTGAAAGATGTTAGATTACCAAAATTTTGGACGAACAAAAGATTTGGGGGGATGCTGTGGAATCTGGTCGTTTGGAAACATAGTGGAATGCGGGCATTATCCTTTCACCTTAGCCACTCTGGATAGTGGTGTTTTCTCCATTGGAAGCAACTCTCTGGTTAGCCACCAAGCAATGTGAGAAGGATAGAGAGGACAAATCAGCAGACTCCATGGAGGTTGCAAAGGTTGACAGAGATGCAATGAGATTGACACCTGGCCAAACAAAGCTTGTGGTGCGTCCTGGAAAGGGAGGCAGCATAGAAACTGAACCACTCGGAGAAAGAGCGCTTACTAGAAGCTTGGAAAACTCCTTCAAACCATCACAATCCACTTCTGCACAGCTTTGGGTTTGAGTGAAGTTTGATTCCTTTGAAAGAAGCTCGCTCCCATGAAGCATTCCTGCAAACGTCGCGCTAACAAGAAATAATGAGTTTCCAATAGCTAAGAATGGAGGGAGTAAATTGTTCAGGATGGTGTGACAATGGTAGCCTCGGACGAGTGTGAACTGTATGACTTCAGATGATGATGGCGGCGATGACAGCAACCAAAGTGAAGGGAGAACCTAGAAGATAGAGAATAAAACAAGACTCTGACAAGTTTGATCGGCAGACCGAAGGCGATCTGGAAACGGAAGCAAGTGAACGCTACGAAGCGACGTCAGAGTTGAAGTAGTATATATTCTTGCCCTTCCCAACTGTAGCCACTGCTGGTGAATTTATTGAACAATACACTACTGGTGATCGTACGGTACTGGTGGCATCGGTAGGGGCGCCGTGCAGCGCCCGCAGTTGGCGAAAAACAGCGAGGATGCAGCCATCTACGCCACAACAGAGGAACCCGCGGAGTCTGTCGCAGACTCTGGACTCTCTGGGATTTGGAAGGAGGACAGTATTGCCATTTCTAATGTTGCTTGGTCAGTTTCTGCGTGGTCTTACTGCATCTCGGTCGCGTATATGTTAAACCACTGAATAGTATTCAAGAAAGTTGTGATGCCGTCATATCATCTTTGTTTTCACGGAGGACGACAGTCACAGCACTGTTTGGAGGTAGCACGACCAGCAGAGACCCATCGTCAGCGAACTCCATCGGCTCGGGAACAACTTGACTTGCTTTCATCAATTCCTCAAGTTGCTTTGGAGAGGGTTTTGGTGGTGACCCCATTGCCTGATACACTTGAATCGCATTGGCATGGGTCTTGTCGATCCTGTACTCGGTCGCCGAGTACGAGGCGACTGGAGGGTGATACCCTGTTTGGGTCTGTAACGATGGCTTCAACATGACTTTGACGGTTCGGTTTGCCCCTATACTTTCAATATCGTTTGCATCCCAGTATCCCAGAAAGATGGCCGTTTGTTCTTTGGATTTGCTAGTGGCCATGACAGAAATGGCCGGCGCCGGTCGCGGTAAGGTTGACTTCCAACCACTAACCACATTGTCGATGTATGGCTTTCGGCCATGATCCGACGCCTTGAGCAAGCACTTGGTTTCATTGGTAAAGAAGGAAAAGACAAAGCACTCTGAGTTCTTTCGGCATGCGTCACAACACGCTTCCACAGTTTTGGCCTCGGCAACCGTGCCCAAATCATATCTCGCAAAGTGGATGTTGGACTCTGTGAAGCAAGTTCCAGACGATTGTGGCGTGTAGTCATCTTCTCGTCCTCCAGTGGTAAATGTCCTGCCATTGACTTGATTCAGGGTCACCTCCAGCCGTTGATCCCCGCCATGTTCATGCAGCATTTGAAAGGCCCTCCAGGCCGGCTTGGGGATGCCACTGACTGTCATGAGACCATAGATTTGCATGTATTCCGTGTGCTGGTCCACCAATGTCCCCTCCTCAAAGACATCCGTGAACGTCCACCACGACAGGATATCGACAATACCCTCCAATGGAGGAATGGCTCGAAAGACAAATGCCGCCGCTCCATGATTGTCGTGTTGTGGTGATCCAATACAACAACCGACATTAAACTCGGTGACAAGAAACTCGGTGTTGTGTGGTGCCAATTTATCCACTCGGTCTTTGCGAGCTTTGATATGGTCCAAGAAACAATCGGGCCACCAGTTTTCGGGTTCTCGGTCGGTACGAGGACATTGGTCATCCGTCGGGTACATGTGGCTCGAAACAAAGTCAAAAGGAATGTTTTGTTTTTGTGCCAACTTGACAAACTCCACGAGTTGCGTGAATTCATACGTCGTGGGTCCTCCCACTCGTAGTGTTGGATGGACATCCTTGACGGCGTGTGCGGATGCATTGTAGAGTTTCATGTACTGCTCTGGAAAGGGAGTGCCCCACATTTCGTTCCAAACCTCAAAGCGCCATTTTTGGATTTCCTTGAGTCCAAACGTCTGGACGGCATGCTTGACCAGAGCACGTACTAGGTGATACCAGTCGTCACAGTCTATGGGCATGGCAGTGATGGGATTGTACCTAAACCACCGAGTGTCACATGGTTCCTTGCCTGGATTGACAACCGTCTGATTATCGGGAGATTTCCAAGTACAGTTGGCCAGGAATGCTGGCATGAAGGAGAGCTCTACCAGAGGCGTAATGTTCAAGCTCAACTGATAGCGCCAGCTTTCTTCAACCAATGAAAAGTTGTACTGTCGCGGCGCCGTGACGACCCCCATGTCATCATTCAAGAGGCCATGATGTCGGACTCCCTGCAAACCCAGATCCTCTACAGCGCGACGCAAATGCGCTTGCCAATCCAGACGTAGCGTCAGAGCCGCATGTCCCGATCCAAAGCTCCTTTTCCAGTAATGTGTAAATGGTCGCTTCTTGTCCAATGCAACTGTGACGATGTCAGTCACAGCATCCGATGATGATGATGCCCATGCTCGTGTCGCAGCAAACAGAATGCAATAATACCCAGGGAACAGTAGGAACGGCACAATCTTCATGGTGGTAGTTCGAGTCGAGTCGCTCTAAAAGAATGGTATATGCAACTGCCGTTGGCTCAGTAGCAAGGATTTCTCAGTCGAACCAATTGATAACACCACAAGTAGCGCTGAGAAAGCAATAGTTTGAGAACAACAAATGGTCTCACAATCCTCGGTGTGGAACCTTTGGTTGGATGTTGGGTGATGGGTGGTATGGATCTTGGATCTTCGGACTTGCTGTTTGTCGATGATGTCCTTGAATGATTGAGAATCGAATTGAGTCGAATTGTTTAGAGTCGAATCGAGTCGAATATATTCGGGAGTGGGGTGTGGCCCTCAGTTGCTTGTTAACACTTTTAGTGATGGGAGCTGGACGATGCTTCGACAACGATCAGGAACACAAATCCCCCCAAAACCTGAGCTTCTCGTGCAGAAGTTTGACCTTGATGATGCAAGATGCAGTCCACACACGAGAAAGAGAGATGACAAGGCGTCGGGAAGAAGTCAAACAGATCAAGACATCAGTAGGAACATGTAGCATAACAGACGAAGAATCGATGGTGGTAACTCTTGTAAAAGATTCCGATTTTGAAGAGCATGGTCAAATTTTTCAGAGCACTGGGGTATCCATCAAATCATTAACCTTGAAGTCGTCACCAGATGCTACAAAGGAACCTGATTGGAACTGCGAACAAGCCAAACAATTTTCCCTGGATATCGCTTCCTTACTTCCGAATCTAGAGAGTGTCACATTTCACAACTTTGGCATGCATTCCGACTCCATCCCGATACATTTACTGACATCGATGATACAGACATCCGAGGCACGCCTGAAGAGTTTTCATCTCAATTGCGTCTGCTTATTGGGTAGCCACAAGGAAATCGAAGAATGGGCTAGTGCCATTCAACGGCAAAAGCACCTTGAATACTTTCGGATCAGCTATTGTGGGTTTTCTACCACCGTTCCATCATCCTGTACGCTACACCCAATCATCAAGGCGCTATCTTCCCTCCCCAATTTGAAGAGTCTAGAGCTTTGGTCCTATGCCGAAGGGCGGCTTGGAACACTACGAGACCATAGCCTGTCAAGACTTCTTCAAAACTCCAAAACCTTGACGGCATTGCATGTAGAAGGCTTCACCTTGGGTGATGAAATTGTCTCCAAACTGGCAACTGCAATACGCGACAATACATGCCTTCAGAAGCTAGACTTGCACATTTTGAAAGAGGCTTCCAGTGGCACTCTGAAGCTGGCAAAAGCTTTGCGTCACAACAATACGCTACAGGCACTGGAGATATTCCTATCGAATAGTAGTGATGCTCCTACCGCTGACAGAACATCACAACCACAACAAACCACATCTGGCAAAGAATTTCTTCCACTAGTGGCCCGGGCCCTATCGTCCAACCACAACAAATCTCTGCAAGACCTTCGCATCCATTGTTATCAAAAGGTAACGCAGGTGGAGGAAGAAGCCTTTGCACAAATGCTAGAGACCAACCACACACTAGAATTTCTGTATCTCTCGGGCTACGAAGGGGATTATCGGCCCAAAATTGAGTATTTCTTGCATTGGAATCGACGGGGGCGTCGTCCTGGAGTGCTACAGCAGAAACTGTGCCAAAGGGTGGCACACAAAAAGAGTAGTCAAATCAAAGCGAAGGAACACGGCAACTCGGAGGATTACAACAATCATGCACAAAGGAAACACAAACAACGACAAGAACGGTTGAACAGGCGGTGACAAAACAAAAAAAAGAATCATCTTCATGGCACTCTGCCGTATCAGGTCTATGATTTTGAGCACTTACTTTCGCTATCCCTACGTGAAGTACCATATACACATGGACTGCGTATCTGCCTGATCATAACACAAACTTCACCAGAGCATATAGATCTGTGCATCAAAAAGCTAGAATATAAAGCATTACATATTGCACTATATAACTGTATAATCATTCCCATCCTTCGTTGACCGTGTTTCCTTTAGCTTGCCTCCCGGTCTTGAAAATGTCTAGGTTCAGGTGTAAATGGACCGAATGCATCGCAGCCATCCATGTTTTTGCCTTGGTACCCCAAAGCTTGTACCAAGGCTAAGCTATCCCAACTTTTGTTTTCTTCTATGATTGACTAGTCTACTTGGGCTTGGGTAGATTGGATCGAACTGTGGGTCTCTCTTTGTTTGATGCAGAGAGCTCCCGAGCCAATTGCTACATCGTACTAGCTATTATGCCTGGAACCGGAACGAAGTCTACAGTGACCGTGCTAGAGTTCTACAGCTCCACTGGATTATATTAAAAGCCAGGCATGAACAGTAAAGAACAGATCAAGAATGACCTTCGTTGTAAGACACGGACTACTGTCGTTATTTTGATAAGACCACTGAACCTTGATCCTTGATGGCCGCTCTGAGTACCGTACCGGTACGACTGTACCGTTTACTGTTCTACCGTACCGGTACCGTATGGGATATGCACTCGGAGTAATGACATCCAATGACCTTTGGTTTCAAGACAGATACATGTATGGTAGAAGGTCATCGTTTTAGATAAGACCCGACGCTGTAAGTTAATGGAGCACCTTGAAGACTTCGATTGCTACCGTGGTTTTGACAGATGTCGTGACATTTTGGACGGAGTCAGTCGAGTCGCTCGACTTGGCGCAATTGTTCGCATGGGATTACCGGTAGGATCAATTTTGAGTTTTTAGAATCAATTAATTAGAAAACACTCTCACTTTTGCTGCATTTGATATTTGATAGAAACAAGTGTAGTGTTAATTATTTAACGTTTTAGCAAATGTATTTTTTAAAATAAAAGCTGCCGATGTTGCTTTAGAAAACCAAAGAAACGGTTTCTGAACTCGCAGTCGTCCAGCAACATCATCAGAACAACGCAACTTGACTTCCCCTCGCGTCCACTTGGCTCAACTTGACTCTTCTTGCGTCACTCGATGCTGGCAATACCGTATGCATGCCGGTGGCCAGTAAACCATCCATCTCTTGCTGAATTGCTGACACTTTGTTCCAGTGTCATTTTCTCTCTTTTTTATGGGCAGCACTTTTCCCGATCCACAGAAAAAATACCGCCACAACAACCATTATTCTGCGAAGCACGATGACTCTAGCAGCATCCTTGACCATGATGGCGAACATGAAGAAAGCGACAGCTATCAACAAGAAGCAGCAACCAACCAGTTCCTCCAAGGATCGTGATGAGATGTTGGCAAGGTTCTTGACCTGTGAGAGTCTGAATGATATCATTCTACAAGGAACTGATGGTGTTCAAGTGCCGGCAAACCGTTTTCTGTTGGCAGCTCGATCCAATGTTTTCATGGGCATGCTGCTGGGCAAGTTTCAAGAATCTTCACTGCCAGTTGTTGAGCTTGGATTCTCTGGAAGTGTCATCAAGGCAGTGGTAGAGTTTGTGCTTACGGACACAGCACAAGTACTCGTCTGCAAAAACAGAGATGCACTAGTGGTGGATATCAACGAACAGATTGAAGCATTGGTGTCATTAGCAGAGGCGGCACCCTACTTTGATCTTGCTGGCCTCACAGAGCTGGTCTTTGAATCTTTTGAAATGACTCTCAATGAACATCCGTGCTCTGCATTTGCTGCCTTGCAGGCATGCAGAATGGCCGGAATTGCTGTTCCGGAGGAGTTTGTCAAAACAGCCAAGTCATGGGTGCAAATGGCCCAACCTACATCTGTGACTGCCAATCATGTGGCCTGTTTGAGCACTTCTGTCATGGAAGAAATACTGATGGATCCAGAAATGGAAATGACAGAGTACGAACTCTTCCAAATGTTATCACTTTGGGCAGCAGGCGACCCTGGTCGGAGAAAGGCAGAAGCAGCGGATCTCTGCAATCACATCTCCTTGGAACGAATATCTCTTGAAAATTTGGCAACCACAGTGGCTACATCAGGCTTGGCTACATCCGATCAACTTGGTGAAGCCTACAAGAATCACGCGTTTGCGCTCCAGAAACTTTTACCACCAACGACGACAACCTTTGAAGCACCGCGGAAAATTTCGTGGTTTTCCGAACGACCCAAAAAATGTGCAGATATTGACCCGATTGCAATCAAAGTGGAGGGCGCTGGTATAGAAGCCGTGAATGGAGTGTACACACGGGAGGGACAGCTGTTTGGTCTACCCAAATATGTGATGCATGGATACTACAAAGGCAACCAATGTGACTTTTGTCTCTGCAGTGAGATGCTCTTTAGTGGCCGTGCCAGTTGGTACATTGAACTTCACGCGGAAGCCAATCCGCATCTGGACCGTTGTCATACATTCTATAAGGCAATCAGCAAAATTCCAGAAGTCCTACCAGACGAAGGGTGGAGTCCTGAAGGAGATGGTACTGGATCATCACCGAGTCTACTATTCAAGTTTTGTTGAAGGTCAACACAAGAAATCTGAGATACAGCAATGTATGTGTAGTTTTATTTTTTATTTTTGCACATTGGTCTTCAAGCGTCATCCCAACTTCTTGTAATTTGTGTTGCTGTAGTTTGTCATTAAAAGAAGCAGTGTTCGTTCCAAGGTGGATTGGCGGTACCAGGTACCTGGTACCGGTAGGTGGTGAGGGGCTAACGAAGGTGGTGTCAATGTTGCACCTCTATCTCTGGGCCTGACTTGCTAGTAACTACGTTAGCTACCGAATTTTCTGCAATCAATTTGGTGGCGAAGCCAAGGCTATGGATGGCTTTGCTGCGTTGGTTGCTCGGTTGCCGCCTTTGCGGAAATTTATAAAGGTGGTGGCACGGTCTGGGTTTCAGGCGAATGGGTCACAGAAGATTGACATCCAGTCATCATGCAATGGTACCGGTGTACAGTACCGGTACTGCTGTTCTTTGCGATGATGGCTTGGTGCCAAACAAAGGCTCTTTGTCAACTTGCCGCGCCAAAGCATCGTGGATTTCCAACGTGGAAAATGAGGTCTGGTGTCGACCGTGCTCTAGCTAGCCATCACTTTTTTTCAAATTGCAGCCACCAAAAAAGATCCGCATCTAGTAGACTACAGAGTGTTACCTTGCATCTTTGCTCCTGGTTATCTTGCTCTTGCATCGTGGCTCATCATCGTATCAGCGCTGAAGTCAAGGACAACAGCCATATTGCGACGCTGTTGGATTGGAGGCTGAAGATTTGCTTTATTCGGACGTTAGCTTGAGGTCAAAAACCAACTCTCAGCAAGAACTCATCACAAGATCCAATAATTACATATTTTGATACCCATGCAGAAATTGACGTTTCTAAAGCTGTTGGCTACAATGAATGGAGTGCTACTTCGTCGTGGCGCTCTAGCCTGGATGTCACCCATTGTTCGGACAACAACAAGAGCAGCACCTTTGTCACGTCGCCCTTTCCATCCCACAAGTCCGAAATTGCTGACAACTCGACGGAATGCATGGGAAGATGACGAAGAAGAAGAAGGTTGGGGAGGTGAAAGAATCATTCGACCAAGCAAACGACAACAACAGCCATCCACAAGATCAAGTTATAGTGATGATAGATCCTCGTCGTGGGATAGAGATGATTCACAAAGGGATCGTCGCCCTCCAAGGAAATTCCAAAACGATCGGCAACAACAGCGCGGTGGTGGTGATTGGAGGAGGAGAAAAGGAGATTTTGACTCTTCCAACAACAACGGACGAGGCAACAATAACAACAACAACAATCGTTGGGACCGAAATAATAACAATAGTCAGAAACGAAGAGCCAAGTCAGAAGAGACCAAGATTGACATGAAAGGGCTAGAGGCAGAAGGATTTGTACACCTCTACGGATTGGCACCCATTTTGAGCGCTTTAAAGTCCAATCAACGAGACTTTTCCCCTCGAGAGTCGCTGGATGATTTAGTCAGTGCGAGGTTTCAAGAGCGGGATGATAACTATGTCATTGATGAAGACGATGACTTTGCCTTTGAAAATCCAAATCCACAGGAGAAAAAAGCCGATACCAAACCAGAAGCCCAATTCACTCCCTGGCTGTTCCTTCAAGATCGATCCGCGGGTGGTGGCAGTAGTGGTCGTACTGGAGATAAAATGGCGGCCGCTTCCGAAGTGCAACAATTGGCAGAAGAGTTGGGGATCCCTGTTGCTTATTCGGACAAGGGATCACTCAATGCTCTCAGTGGCAATCGACCACATCAGGTACGCGTGCTGCTTGCTTTGGCTGATGTTGTCAATGTTTCATTGAGAATTTGCGCTACGACAGACTATTGATGCACGATCAACTTATTCTCACACCCCGCTTTTTCTGCAGGGCTTTGTACTGCGATGCGGCCCGCTTGAGTTTGAGCGGTTGTCCCGAATTCCACACCCTTCGACAACCAGTGAGCCTCTACCCAAACTTTGGTTGGTCCTGGACGAAGTGGTGGATCCACAGAATCTTGGTGCCTTGCTACGCTCTTGCTTCTTTTTGGGAGGCAACAACAGTAGCCGCATGGGGATTCTCGTGTGTTCCAAAAACTCGGCACCACCCTCACCGGTCGTCAGCGCGGCCAGTGCGGGCGCATTGGAGTTGCTAAATGTCTACAGCACCAACAGTTTGCCACGAACACTCGCAGCTGCGAAAGAGGATGGGTTTCGCATCATTGGCGCAGCCTCGTCGAAGCCACGAGGATTGGAGGAGGATGACAGCATTCCGTTGTACGACTTGCAGAACCTTCCCTTGAACCACAACAGCGATGAGGATGACAATCGACCCACTCTTCTCGTGCTCGGTTCCGAAGGACATGGTTTGAGAACCTTGGTAGCCAAACTCTGCACAGAGTTTGTGCGAATTCCTCGGGGTGATTCATTAAGTGGAATGGATGTGGACCACGACGAAGAAGAAACAGGCGGCGATGGCTCGGTGGATTCTCTCAACGTCAGTGTGACTGGTGGCATTTTGCTGTGGCATTTGCTGTATGGCGCCGGTGGGGCTGAGGCATAAAGAGTGCTAGGCGCCTGTTAATGGTTTTAGCGTTGCTTTTCGTGTTGCGGTGCGACAATACCATTGTGTACTGATTAATCTAACGATCTAAGAGATATACTTGGATTCAGTTTGTTTGTCTTTAACTACAAGCTTGCTATTACCGGTAGTGGGTAGAGTAGCTATTCACGGCAGGATAATACGGGGGCAGGCTGTTTCGTTTACTAGTTTCAGCCAGCGTCATCCTTGCTTTTTCAGTGGGTCTTTGTTTTCAAGTAGTTCGTTGAGTCTGTTCGCTGTATAGTCGAGCCGATTCGTCCAGACGACCATACAATGATCTGACATCATGCCGCAGTGTTGTAAGTTGTTGAGCCTTGGCGTCATGGCGGCGTCGCTGTCGATCAAAGTTTCCACTTGTTGCTGCAAATCAGTGATTTGTCGCGTCATGGCGGCGTCGCTGTCGATCAAAGTTTCCACTTGTTGCTGCAACGGAGCGATCTGCAGTTGGACAGCTTGCTGGACTTGTTGTACCAAGAAAGAAGACAAGGTGTCATTGACCACGGCAGCAGGCTGTGCGTTACCGCCTTCGACAATCTTGATGTCTTCAACGTCTACCAGTCGGCACATGGGTGGTAGATATTCTTTGCCCTCAACTACCAGCTACAGGATGACTTCATATACCGTTGACAGGTGTCAAAATGGATTCTCGTTTTGGCCAAACCAAAGTTGGAAGCAGTCATTTCTAACAAAAAGGGTCATTTCGCGAATCCTGCATAGCATTGACTACTTCTTAGAAAAAAAAGATTGAAGCAAATAAAATGAATTTTACCACCATGGCAACAGTGTTGACCAAATGGCTATTAGCTCTACCAATACATTGATCTGATTGACTCTTTTCCAGGTGTAGCTCCCCAACACACTCACAGACACTCCCCTTGAAAAGAGTCAATCAACTCTAAGGTTTCCTATGGAGCCACAATGAAAAATCTGGCTTGGATTGCATTTTGTTGTCATTCTGCCATGGATTTCTCCATAGGAAAGGTGCTCCTGTCCTCACTCTCAGCACTCAATCTGCACTGTAGAGTCATGTAAGAGGATGGTTGGCTTTGCATGAAGACTGGAGAAACCATCCCAAAGTTTCAAAGGGGATTGTCGGCTCCAAGGTGGCAAAATTGAGCAGATTTCTCATGTTTGTAGTCAGCCGACCACTCAAAGCAGTAGTAGAGAAGCTGCCGCTTGTTCCTTTTGTAGTAGCAATGTCGTAGGATCGCGGCCACTCCGTGGAAGAGGAAGCGATCCTCATTGTCGCTCCGTGAAAGCAGGAAGCAAATCCATCCGCCGAACCGAAGAAACTTGTTGCAGGTGCAATTGACGAGGCGTCGCTTGACGAGGCGTCGCTTGTCTTTCTAGTAGTAGTCGCATGTTGTTGCCTTAGCGGTAGCGGCGTCGGCGTTCCGTGAAAGAGGAGGCGTCATGGTCGCTTCGATAGATTGCTCCGTGGAAGAAGAAAAAAGAAGTCATCCACAGAATCGACACGACGAACGCGAGCAACAACCAATCGTCGAACGGCTGCCGCTGCCGCTAGCCAAACAAGAGGATCCTGTCATGGTGGTGAGTAGTAGCCTTTGTTAAGAGGAGTAGCCGCTGTAGAGGACATAGCATCATCTTGATAGAGTCGAGTCAATAGAATAATTATCGAAATCATGAACTTTTGTTGTGGCTTGGACGATCCAACGTCCCGGTGATGTCAGCTGAGTTTAGGGATGAGGTTACGGGTCCTCTAAGTCTTTTCACGGAACGTTCCGTTTCGCTTGGAATGTCTTACCGGAAGCCGGCTTGCGTTTGTCTTGATATTTTAGATTCAGCCTGTAGCAAGCTGAGGGCCTTTGAACTATTTGTTGCCCTCAACTACCAGCTAGCAAGCTGAGGGCCTTTTGAACTTTATCTTGTGTGTGTGTGTGTGTGTGTGTGTAGGTGTGTGTACGTTGAGTGTTGTGTGAGATGTGTGATGTTGTGTGAGATGTGTGTAGACACTACTAAGAGTTAATCTACGACGAATCTACCATTGGATGTTTATCCATGGGGTATACCGTTGCTTGCTGATTTCCAAATTCTGAGCTTAAGAATTTCGCTGTTTGCTTCATCAGTGGAGCAAGCTGGGGATGGCAAAAGATACAAGCCGGGTATGCTGTGAGAAAAGCAAGGGTACCC